CCTCTAAAACTGTACAAAAGCCCCAATTAAATGCTTCCTTTATAAGAATTGTGCTCTTAGGGATGGAGAGGGAGGAGGAGGGGGAGGGGTGGAGTGGGAGGGTGTTGGGAGGAGGGGCGGAAATGGAAACTTTCATAATTTAATAAACTTTGAAAAATAATAATAATAATAAATGCAAAAAAAAGAGAATTGTCTTCATCATGGTGTCTTTCCACAGCAATAGAATGGTGACTAAGACAGACATTGGTGTGAGGGACTGAGGTATTGCTCTGACAGGCCTGACCGTGCTGTTTTTTGAAGGAATTTGGAGGACTTTGATACTTTGGACTAGAAAAGCAGTTGCATACTTGAAGCAAGTTTTACTGGGCCCTCCTACTAGGAGCCTAGAAGACAGTGCTCAGGAGAGTTTGAACAGTGGGGGCCCAGCTCACCAAATTTCAGAGAGAAGAGTAGTAGTAAGTGTTTTAGGGACCATTCTTGTGATATTTTGGCAAGAATGTATCTGCTTTTTGCCCTTGTCCTAGAAATCTCCCTGAGGCTAAATTGAAGAATTTTAGATTAACAGCATTGACAGAGATCTCAAGACAGCCTCATATTGACTGTCTCGTGGTTATTAATAATCACTCATATGCAGATCTATAATGGAAAGAAGCATTGGACAAAGAGAAATTTAAGAATGTACAGTTTGAGGAGAAAAGCCATCTGGCCCCATAAACTCTTTCTTCTGTCCTCTACTCTAAAGCCGAAACCACATGACCACAGTTGCCAGGTTCTGCTGTTTGTTGGGGCTGGAACTTGGCTCCCTCATTCGATTACACTGAGCACCAGGAAGTATAATGGAGCTAATTTCCCTGATCAAGGAGATAAAAAGTTTAAAGAAAAGCCTGCTGCTAAATAGGATATAGGGTGTGGTGTGGTGGCCTCTGGGCAAGACCTCACCCAGCTGAGCTTCCAACTTGGGGGTGGGGGTGCGGGAATGAAAGGAAAACTTAAGCAATGGAGCTTCACCATCTGATGCAAATGTAATTGAATGAGGAGCCAAGTTCTGGTTTTAGAGTATAGGATAGAAGAAGGGGGTTGCGAAATCTCCCTCCATGGCTAATGAAAGCCGCTGAGGTCAGGTGTGTGTCAGTGTTGTCCTTGCATGGAGGACCAGAGAGGCCATTGAGTGAAGCTGTGAAGCTTGGTTGCCTTGGAAACCCTAAAGTGGTAGAGATGCCAGGGTTGTGGGACACCTGTCAGGGAGAGCTGCATACAAACTCTATGATCTTTAGTCAAGGTAGAACAGAGCTCGCATCTGTGGGCTCCCACAGTTCTCTTTTGATGGCATTTATTTATTAAATTTCTCAAGTTTTTGGCCTCTATTCTATATAATCCAGCAGTCAATCCAGTTATATTTGAGACTTCATCATTAAAGCCTTGTGTTCTCCATATCTCAATCAGCATTCTGATCTCCTATGTTCCCCCAAAGAATTTCTCATTAAGCCCCATTTACAATGCCCTAAGTTTTCTCCAAGCAAGTTTGAAGTAAGAAATGAGATCAAGGACTTCACTCAGTATCTTAGAATACTTCTATTTTTCTGTAAGACTGCATTTAAATGTGTAATTGCGAACAAACTGTTGAACAGTCCAATTGTCTGGATGATAATGATAGTAACATATCTAACTTTTGATTGAGATTTCAAATAGTCTAAGTCAGAACGGTAAGATTTGTGCCTTAATCACGCATCCAAGTGTATAGATTGCTTATGGTTAGGAAAAGAACAACCACTTGGATTGATGCATAAGGTGACCCTCTGGTGCCACACTTTACCTTCACTCATGTGCTTAATTTTACAATAATCCTTTGTCTCAAAAACAATTCCTATAAGATGACTCATTATATTCCATATTACTAAAGGGACGACTGGGGTTTATACATAAATGTTAATAATTTCTCAATATTCAAAACTGCTGAAAGGTAGGATTCTAAAAAGTGTGCCAGTTTCCAAAACCTCCATTTTCTTCTATCCATGCTCCCTTTCACTACAAAGCCTTCCACCCAGGACAATGTCAGGATGGTGGGCTGAGCCACAAAGGGGCTCTGTGATGGAAACAATCAGAACCAAGGTAGAAGCTGGTATTATGAAAATACAGCACTGTGCTAATACAATATAATATAATCTAATAAATATAGATTATAGCAGGCAAGATGAGGGTGCAACTATACCCTGGCTACTTGGGAGGCTAAGACAAGATGCTAAGGCTGTGAGTTTAAGGCCAATCAGGGTAATTCATGGAAACCCTGTCCCAGAAAAAGAAAAGAATAAAAATGTAAACAAACAACAACAAAATGTCCTGAAAAATACACATTTCAGACTAACAGGCCCTGAGCAACATATAATCTGTAATGATTACATTCTGAGTTAGCTGCCAATGCTTGAAACGTAGGAAACATCTCTAAAGCATTTATTTTCTTAGCTGTTTTTTAACATAGAACAGAAATATCTGGCAGTGTTAGGTCTGTATTCCAAAGTGGCAGTCGTGGGTGGAAACATACCCCATCAATTCATCATTTGCATCAGCCCCTGATAAAGTAGAGAGGCAGATCAAAGTTTCTGTTCCCATCTTGGTCCTATGCCCATTTATCAGCCAGTTCATGGTCATGAGTTTTCCTCCTAGAATATTATGCCAGTTAAAACTAGAAAGATGCTTCTGAATAACTTTTTATGGATTTCTTTATATTCCAAGATACAGGGTGTGTTTGTTATTGATTTTAAGAACAGGAAAATGAAGTACTACATGACCCTGTCCTGTTCTCTACTACCTACCATCTGTCTTCTATCTCTCTGTCTGTCTGTCTGTCTGTCTGTCTATCTATATCATATGTGTATGTCTATGAAACATTACTTATTTCTTATTGGGATAAAATTCATATAACATGGTGTCTTAGTGTTCAAGTACTATAAAAAGACACCATGATCATGAAAAAATAAAGGAAAGCATTTTACTGGGGCTTGCTTACAGTTTCAGTCCATGGTCATCATGACAACAAGCATGGTGGTATGCAGACAATCATGGTGCTGGAGAAGTAGTTTGAGGTTCTACATTCAGATCCACAGGCAGCAGGAGGAGAGAGACACTGAGCCTGGTTTGAGCATTTGAAACTCCAAAGCCTACCCCTGGTGACACACTTCTCCAATTAAGGCCATGCCTATTCCTAAAAGACCATAAATTCTCCTAATCTCTGCCAAGTAATGCACTCTCTAATGGCGGAGCATTTCAAATGCATGAGCCGATGGTGAACATTCCCATTCCAAACACCACACATGGAAACAGCCATTTTAAATTACATAATTCGGTGATGTTTATCATTTCCACCATGCTGTGAGTGCACCACCTCTGATGAACTCCAAAAAGCTTTAAATTTAAAGCTGTGGGTGGTGTGGGACAATAGTCTGTATTCTGTCAATTGTATTTTAAATACACGCTGATTGGCCAGTAGCCAGGCAGGAAGGATAGGCAGGACAACCAGACAGGAAGTAGAGGTGGGTCAAGGAGAACAGGAGAATTCTGGAAAGGAGGAAGCCCATTCCTCTGTAGACCTGACCTGATCACAGAAGAAGCAAGATGTGACTGCCCCACTGAATAAGGTACCAAGCCATGTGGCTAACATAGGCAAGAATAATGGGCTAATATAAGTTATAAGAGTTAATAACAAGCCTGAACTAATGGGCCAATCAATTTATAACTAGTGTAGGCCTCTGTGTGTTTTTTGGGGGACTTAATGATTGTGGAAACCAGGCAGTACAGAAAACTCAGTCAACAAAGACAAAGGTATACAGAAACCCTGACAATGTTTGGGTCCTACTACTTTAATAATAGTTTCCCATGCTTTTTCCAAGGTAATAATGGATACTGGGCAATTTTGTATCAATTTTATGATCAGTCTTTATGAAATGTCTGTGAAAAACACTACTGGAGCATTAATAACTGTTATTTTGGTTCTGCAGGTTGCCCTGGGTGTTTTGCCGTGTCAATAATGTTGAGACATCTAGTCCATTATTTGAAATGGTTTTCCATTTTCTTGGGTCCTTGATTTCTTTCACCAACCTTGTGCAGCTTCTGGCATATAAATTTTAAAGATCTTCAACTGGTGTGTGTTTCTGTGTGTACCTGCATGAGCGTGTATAGTTGTGTATGTTCATGTGTGTACCTGCATGTGTGTGGTTGTGGTGCCTGGCATCTACACCAGTGCCTTCTAAATATTAGTAAGATGTTTTACCATGGAGCTATATTTCCAGTCTTGTTCTTAAGTTCTTCACTTTGTTCAGAGTTAGTTTAAGTACATTTTTAAAAACTATAGTGCAGGGTTTTCAATACTTGTGTGTAAAAATATATGTGATGGTTTTGTCTTGATTTTTAGTTTTCAAATATGTGAAATTCCTTCATTAGTTTTGCTAATGGAGGGTTGGTTCTTTATGATTTTCTATAATTGAGATCATATTATATGTATATATAGATCATTTTAAAATTTCTTTTCCAAAATGAATGTCTTTTACTTTTCTTGCCTAATTTTCTTGCCTAACTAGAATTTTCAGTACAATGCTCAACAGAGTGATAATAGAAAATATCTTTGTGTTGTACCTGATCCTGAGGAGAAAGTTCCAACCTTTTGCCACTTAGCATAGCATTATCTATGGGTTTTTATTTATTTAAAAACGTATTTTCAGTCTAACTTAAAATTTAGGAGTTAGGCTGTGCAGTGTAGAGCTCCAGAGATTTGGAAATGAACCCAAGACCAGAGGGACCACTACGAATGTTTAAAATTTTAATTATTAAATATACTTAAAATTATTCTTCCAAAATATTCCTTAGTGGAGAGTGACTACAGAATAACCTGGTGTTGTGTTTGTGACATCTCAGCTAAAGGGAGCCGTCTTAGTTAGTCAACATTTTGAAATGAGCTTTCTTTGAGAATGTGGCTGGTTATTCTGATGTGCACTTGTTTTGAATTACAGATTGCTTTTGTCCTGTATCCTCTCAGTGGAAGTCCTGCATGGAATCTGTCAGATATTGAGAATAAAATGTTTCTCACCATGTGCTTTACGTGGCATTATGCATCAACCTTTATCATCATTGGATTAAATTATGCTTTTATCACCTGGTAAGTTAGTGGTTTTTTTAAAAAAAAAAATATGTATGGTCCATTGCTTTGCATATGTCCATCAAGATTTGGCAGTGTTGCACTTCAAATTCAAAAGGGAGATTTTACTCTTGTCTTTTAATTAGATGGACTAGGGCATTAGGAAATTATTTCTACAGAAAGAAATGGCTAGCAAAAATGTAGATGTTGACTTAAATTTATAATAGTTTAGCAGTGCCTCTGACCCATGCCCTACCCTATAGTATACTCTCTGAACCTCTTTCTCTTCACAAATACAGTCGTCTATTCTGGATGGCCAGTTCCCCTATGTACAGTGAGACCTCCACTTACTTAGGGGCAGATACTTTAATTGTCCCATTTCATAACATTAGGACTTTCTTTTGACAAATGTATATAAATCAAATTAAATAAGGCAGTAACTCTAATTTTCCAAAAGTTGAATAATGCATCCTTTTATATAAGAATCCTGATCTAACTTTCTGAGCAAGTCAGGAGCAACATAGCAGATTGCTGAGAACACATATTCCTAGTTCTATTGCCCATTGGTTATGACTTCAGACTCATTACTCAGCCACATTAAGTATGAATCTTATTTTTTACTACATAGAGATAATAGAAGCTAAATGAGAGTGTATATTTGTGTTCCTGAAGATGTGAAAACTCAGCAAGTTTTCTTGTCTTCTTGTCTGTTTTATCCTCCTCTTCCTCTTTATTTGGTATAAAAATATGAGGTGGAGACCATTCCATGGGAAATGGTTCTGTCCTGTAACCAGGGCAAATTAGAGAGATAGACAATAAAAATAAGAGAACAGTGTGTGGAAGTCGTAGAGAGAAGAAGGAGCTCGAGGAAGGCTCCTTACATATTGAAAATTATGTGAGCTCAAAAGATGAGCAAGAAGGAAAGGGGATGATCGTGGCTCCCGGGGTGCTTAGTGCCAATGCACAGTGGGCTTGACTGATCCTAATTACTGGACATACAGACTCCAGCACTCAATTCTTCAGACTGATACGTTGAGTAAAATACTCTACAACGGCAGTAATGTGTATCTAGTGTTCAGTATGGTGGACACCAGCTCCCAAGAACATCTAATGTGACATGGTCCATATTAATTTCAACTGATTCAAATATGAAACTCTAGATAGTATTGCACACCTTGTAGCTTCTCCAGATCCTTAGAATGTAGTAGCTATTTTTAGGCACCATGTTTTGTCGACTTCTACTGCAACCAGCTTCGCAACCTCTGGACCTGGGCTCCAGATCAGCCCTCCTCCTCTGCGTTTGACGCTGGAGCAGTTGTAACACGAACTATCGCCTTGTTCAGCTCCCTGATGTCCCTCTTGGGCTTTGGAGCAGCTCACTTTGCTCTGCAGATGCTTTCTTCCTCCTTCAGGGTGTTTCTGTCCCACTCCCCCAGAGCATGCGCATCAGCACGTTGGTAAGGCTGGCTGGGCTACTGAGTCTTGCTCTCTTCCCCTGTTGTTCCAGGCTGACATCTGGGCCTCATCTTCTTAGGGGCTGGGGCCTCTTCAGGAACAGTCGCAGGATGCAAGGACAAACTCTACTTCGTGTCAGCTCCCCTGCAGAGCCAACAGAAGACTACTGTCTCTTCCTGTACCAAAAGCCTTCAGATGCCTAATGAATGGCTTGCCACTTACGGGTCCCTAGAAACAAGAAACGCCAGTTTTATTTTTTACCCTCTCCCAATCCCCACCGTATGTTATTCTAATCTCTTTGACCAGACAGTTCCCTTTACCTGGTATATTCACACTAAATACCTATCTCTTCTTTGAGACCTCCTATAATTCCTCTGGCCCATATTGATGTGTGTTTCCTGAGCTACCAAAGTATTTCGTTTGCACTAGACACTTTAAATATTATTATATGTCAATTGAGATGTTGACTACTTGCCCATTAGCCCTCCCTGCCAGCTAGATTGTATTCCCATGTGAAAGCAATCTTTTTCGTATCCCATACCAACTGGCACATTACCAGACATATAGTAAGGGCTCAGTTAACATTTGTTAGCTGTTTAGTAGATCTCCATTTCAAAGACATTTAAATACAAACTTCATTTGTTTGGAAATTGTATTTTATATGTTTCTTGATTTTCCTTTAATACTGATTTTAAAAAGATAAGATCCAAGAGTTTAACTTTCCCTGAACTGTTGTGATATATATTTAAGCAACAGTTTTAAAATACCACAAAGACTCAATATTGTCTTTCAGTGAGATCACATGGAAAACTAATTCAGGTACTAACTTTGAGAATAAGAAGGATTGAAACTCCTTTATTCAGGGTTCGACTATGAAGCAGTTTCTTATCCACAAGTCATTAAATTTAGACATTATATCCAAGTTGTTTGACACAGGACAATAATTGTCACACAAGCACATCTAAGTTATGGAATTCTCCTCCTCAAATCCTTGAAAGATGATGCAAAATGTCCCAGTTTTGCAAAATAGTGGTTCAAGATTGCCACATTCTAGTCTCTGCCTGCAGCCTTGATTATGCAAGCTTGTAGATGAAACCTGTTTGGAAATATTGTTGCATATTTAATGTGTCATACACACACATATTTCTGTTGCAAATAACTATTTCAATAGCCATTGTCTATGAGTAAGGAAGCATTGCCTATTTTCAGATGGGCTTACCAAGCTGTGAGTCACGTAAGCCATTGTGAAGGACAAAGCAGGGCTTGTTAACACACCAAGCACACAAGTTTCTTGTGTCAGGTCTGCTCTTTTTCACAGTAATTTATGAGAACATGAAGCAAGAGTAGAAACACACCTTGATTTTGATTCCCCAAATTTCCCCCATTATAGTAACTGGCAATTATGTCTGGGTATTTCTTTTGTGTTATTATTGGGGCAGGTGTTGTTTTGAGGGGGATTTATTTTGCTTTTAAGACAGAGTCTCACTGTGTGGTTTTGACTGGTCTAGAACTTTCAGGCTGGCCCCGACTCACAGAGATCCGCCTGCCTCTGCCTCCTGAGTGGTGGTTTAAAGGTGTGTGAGACTATGTCAGGCTTCAGTTCCTTACCCCAGCTCTCACCCCGCCTCACAGATACGCCTCACAGATTTCTGCATGTGGGCTACAGATGCCTAGTACCCTATAAAGGTGTGGATGTGTCTGAACTTCATGGCTCACAACACAGCAGCTACAACCCAGAGAGAAAGAACAGGAGAGAGTGGGAGTGATTGGGTCTTTGTTAACATTTCATTTCCAGTGAGCAGCCACGAGTCATGCGTTTTCCACACGAGTCTTCAGAAATGAACATAACTGATTAATCCCTTTCATCTTACATGGACTGATGTTGGGCCATGTGGAAAGAATGTGTGGGCCTTTGTAAGATCACACAAATGCTCTCCAACCCTTAATCAGCCTTCCAAAGAGGAGGTGGCATGGAGTGTTCCGAACCTATGAACAAAACCAATAGTCAACAGTTGAGGCAAACAACCAAGCAGTTTTTCTTGGCTGTTGAGCCACCAGAAGTGGTTGGTTCTGTCCCATTGCCGTTTATTAGATGTGTTAGTGTCAGTTGGCAGTAGCAGAAGAGCTGGCAGCCTCTGTTCATAGATGAGTCACATTTCCTGTCAGTGCTGTGTCAAATGTGTCAGTGTAATAGGTTAGGATCACTTCTGACTCTGGCTAGGGTTACGCTAACAAATGGGATGGAGTCAGTGAAGCTCTTGTGCGGGATCCAGAGCACAGGAGTGACCTAGTGTATGAAGAGAACAGGCTAGAATAGAACTTGATTGGAAAAAAGAAAGAGGGACGGTAAAAATCAGAATGTAAACAGGCTGAAGAAATTTTTCATAAAGAGAAATTCAACCCAGGCTTGATACGTGACTTCACTTGATCTGTCACTCTAGGGAAAGGTCATGTGCTTCCTTAAAGGAGATGACGTCTCTTTGCAATCCATAGGTAGTTGTGGATTTGATGTAGATGTTCCACCAATATCTCATTTGTCACAGTCAATAGAGTCTCCTTCTGGTCTTATAAACAAACAGTTGTGCATAGTTAAGCAATCTCATAACACGTTTGAGAGACACATCTTTTCTTTTTACCTAGACATTATTGTAATCAATACACATTTTTGGGTGTCTCCAAGATACATAGAAATCATTTCACTTTAGGGGCTGCCTCTACTCATTGTGGGAATAATCTGCATATTGCTGTAAAGTTTTGACCCTTGATATCATATAACCAGAGATGATTTTCTTCTTCTTCAGGTTAATTAAATCTAGACTTAGGAAGGGCTGCACCTCAGAGGTTGGACTGCTGAAAAATACTGAACGTGAACACGAATCTGAAGAAGAAGTGTGATTTTGATGGGCACCCATTCTAAATAAGTCTTCTCTTGTTGCATCGCCTTTGTTCATGGCTTTCTTTCTTGACCTTTGTCTGAAGAACAGCTGTCTGAGGCTGACTCCATGTCGTTTGTATTTCCAGTTTTGTTAAAGTGTTGGACTTATAAATGTCTCACTTTCTGACATCTTTGAAAGTACTTTGGGTGATAAATTCAGTTTGCATAGTGTGCATGCCATGGTGTTCAAGAGCAATCATTTTTCCAAAGTTATGCATAGCTTCATGTTCATACTATGAAATTTGTTTTATTTTCCTGATGGAAACCTTAAAGAGTCATCGCCTTGTCATCGCTTGTAACTCATTAAATGTTGCATTTGTTTATCTTGTTGTCACAATGAAAAAATAAATGAATGCACGCACCTTTGTGCAAAAACCTCGAATCCTCATCTTTTATTGACGTTTGTCTCACCTTTACATGATACAGAAAAACCTGCATGTACAGAAGTCCCTTTCTTTGAGACATTTCGATATGGAAAACTTGATGCAAAAGGTAGATCAGAAGTCTTCCTGCGAGCTTTCTAAAAGTGAATGACATTAAGATACATGGTTTCAAAGATGTTGGAGACTAGGAAAGGGGCATTGTGGTATTAGCATAGCCTAGCATGATCACCATGCCATTTGCTCTGTTAAACAGATAAAGGATTAAACAACATGCATTTATACCAGTGGTTCTCAATGTGTGAGTTATGACCCCCAAAAGACCATCAGAAAACATAGATATTCACGTTATGATTCATAGCAATAGTAAAATTACAGTTATGAAATAGCAATGAAAATAATTTTATGATCAGGGTCACCACAACATGAGAAACTGCATTAAGGGTTACAGCAGTAGGAAGGTTAAGAACCACTGCATATAATCCTAGGCTAAAAAGTCAGAGCCTTGTGCCATGCAGGCCAAGAATCTCCCAGTAGTGAGTAATATACATATACATATATATATATATACATTCATATACATATGAATATTATATATTCATATAATTCTGACTCTACTCTTAACCCCTCTCCACATCTCTAATAAACAAATATATCTTCCTCTCTACATTTGGCCATAATCAAAAGGCCAAAAAGATGATTCTCCATTCTAAAGCAAGGAGTAAAATTTACTTAATAAACACAGGGACCCTTTCTTAATATCACATTTTATAAATCTCAAATGTCAGCAAGTGGAGAACTAACTTAACACAATGTTACACAGAAAGCCCTGCTGTAATGCAAGAAGGAAAGATGCAGGAATCCTGAGAGATGAGCTAAATTTGGAGGAAGTGGCATGGCCTCTGTGCCCACAGAGCTGAAACACAGATAATGAAACCCAGCAGGCTCCCTGGCATTCCAGAACTCCAACAAGCCTAGAAGCTGCCCCATCATATTCTTCAGGCCCACAAACTGGGAGTATTCATTTTGTTACACAGCTTTTTAAGTGACTGATGTAAGTGCCCAGAGATATGTCTTGAGCACTTTGAAGTATGAGGTGCCAATGTGTCATGGTCCTCTGGGAATCATGTTCTACCCATGTGTGTCCAGAGTTAAGGGTCCTTTTCTAGTCTAACAACCCTCTGTGACTGTCACATTTGAGTTTCAGATCAACAAGTCAACAGTCAGTTGCAGTTACAGTGCTGCAGTGACAGAAGTCACTGATATCTAGGTGCAGAGACCACTGCTTCTCCAGGCTCGAGCCCAGAGACTATGAGTAAGATATAACCCAGAGTTCCCAAAACACCTGGATCCTAGACCCGTTTGGGGATGTTTTCGTACAGCTCCTGAAATAAACTTTTCTTGAAATTGTATGACTATACTGTTGAGGTATACTGTTTTTGGAACAGCATGAAAAATCTAGTAAACTGGAATCTCAAATAGGAAAGTTTTTTATGCATTTCCTTCATCTTGTGCCAGTAGGTCTCAGTCCATTCGTCGAAGCTATAAAGATTTTGGTTTATCCGAAAAATCTATTTCAGTAAGTTGTCCAAAATAATGACAAATATAACAAAACTATTAAGAGTTTCTACTCTAGATGACAGGGTGAGATGAGGAAGGGCAGCTCTGTCATGCTTATCAGCCTGTGGAGTGGATAGAAATGGGGTCATTCATTCAACAGGTGGTTATTATTCCATTTCCAAATGCTAGGAAGTTGTTCAGTAAACTAAGAACAGAACGATGCTCAAGCCAGAGTTGCTGTCTCCATCAGACATAGATTCCTGGGGGAGAACCAGGCAACAACTAAGTAAGATGGAAAACTACAAATCCTGGGGGAGAACCAGGCAACAACTAAGTAAGATGGAAAACTACATACAAATCAAGGCAATGGGTGTCGTGAAGAAAGATAAATCTGGTAAGGAGAACCCAGAATGGGGAGGTGCATGGCTGACATTTTCCCAAGGGTCCTTCCCCAAAGGTCTTTTTATGAAGAAAAATGGCACCCATGTTCCATCTTTATTCTATGGCTTTTCTATGTTAAAATGGATTTGTGAAGAAATGAGTTTGTTTATGGCAGACAATGTCTGTGAGCTACTAAAGCCAAGGGTAACAAGCTGGACAGGGCCTTTAACAGTGAGTCTCATAGCACATAACCTGAATTCTGTTTGTGCCAAGTGTCAAATCCTTCACACAGCTTATGTCCCAACCCTCTGTGTATAGGGAGTGTACAGTTCAGTCCAGTCCTGCAGGCTTTCACGACACTTGAGATTCCATTATTGCTTAGCCACTAATTTTAGGCCTAAAGGTGACAAGCTTCCCTGAGAACAGACTTAGGCAGAAGCCCTTCCTCCTTCATCC